GGAATAATTTCGCATCTGGTACCACTTACACTGTATATTCATTGTACTGAATAATCAACTTGAACCTTATCTTCTGAACAGCTATTTCATACTGATTAATCAACTTGAACCTTATCTTCTGACCAGCTATTTCACACTGATTAATCAACTTGAACCTTATCTTCTGAACAGCTATTTCATACTGATTAATCAACTTGAACCTTATCTTCTGAACAGCTATTTCATACTGATTAATCAACTTGAACCTTATCTTCTGACCAGCTATTTCATACTGATTAATCAACTTGAACCTTATCTTCTGAACAGCTATTTCACACTGATTAATCAACTTGAACCTTATCTTCTGAACAGCTATTTCACACTGATTAATCAACTTGAACCTTATCTTCTGACCAGCTATTTCATACTGATTAATCAACTTGAACATTATCTTCTGACCAGCTATTTCATACTGATTAATCAACTTGAACCTTATCTTCTGAACAGCTATTTCACACTGATTAATCAACTTGAACCTTATCTTCTGACCAGCTATTTCATACTGATTAATCAACTTGAACATTATCTTCTGAACAGCTATTTCATACTGATTAATCAACTTGAACCTTATCTTCTGACCAGCTATTTCATACTGATTAATCAACTTGAACATTATCTTCTGACCAGCTATTTCATACTGATTAATCAACTTGAACCTTATCTTCTGAACAGCTATTTCATACTGATTAATCAACTTGAACCTTATCTTCTGACCAGCTATTTCATACTGATTAATCAACTTGAACCTTATCTTCTGACCAGCTATTTCATACTGATTAATCAACTTGAACCTTATCTTCTGAACAGCTATTTCATACTGATTAATCAACTTGAACCTTATCTTCTGACCAGCTATTTCACACTGATTAATCAACTTGAACCTTATCTTCTGACCAGCTATTTCATACTGATTAATCAACTTGAACCTTATCTTCTGACCAGCTATTTCATACTGATTAATCAACTTGAACCTTATCTTCTGAACAGCTATTTCATACTGATTAATCAACTTGAACCTTATCTTCTGACCAGCTATTTCATACTGATTATTCAACTTGAACATTATCTTCTGACCAGCTATTTCATACTGATTAATCAACTTGAACATTATCTTCTGACCAGCTATTTCATACTGATTAATCAACTTGAACATTATCTTCTGACCAGCTATTTCATACTGATTAATCAACTTGAACCTTATCTTCTGAACAGCTATTTCACACTGATTAATCAACTTGAACCTTATCTTCTGAACTGCTATTTCACACTGATTAATCAACTTGAACCTTATCTTCTGAACAGCTATTTCATACTGATTAATCAACTTGAACCTTATCTTCTGACCAGCTATTTCACACTGATTAATCAACTTGAACCTTATCTTCTGAACAGCTATTTCATACTGATTAATCAACTTGAACCTTATCTTCTGACCAGCTATTTCATAATGTTTGATTTGTTTCATACTCTTTTCCTTTCAGTTAATGCCTATCAGACATTCCTGAACACCCATGGTAGAACGACCTCCCGTCTGAACTTCCACATGTCCCTTCTCCACTCACTTGTCGGGAACACCCAGGTGAAGAGGAGGACCGTATTGGGATACGGCTAAATCTTCATTCATGGATTTAGCCGTAACCCTAATGCGTGAATCGATGTTCATGATGTCAATCACTGGATTGTCTTGTCCAGACTCGATTATTTACAGACCGCCAAAATATAGCTGGAAGATTGCTGAGTGAGGCGTTAAACAACAAACAAACAGATATTTTTTACAGCCACAGCTGTATTTATTTAAAACTGAGCATGCTTTTTTTTGTAAAAGAAAATACATTGGAACAATGACAACTTATTTTTTGGATAAAATCCCAGCTTCGCCATCAGAAAAAGCATTGCCCATGTTTGCAAATTTCCGTATCGATGGTTACAGTTGAACAGTTGAATTCAATTCTCTCATTTTATAATACAAAATAACAAACAAACACACTTTCAGGCTGCAAATAAAATATCCTAATGTGTGGTTAAGAATAAAAAGCAAGACAAATTATTGGATATATATTTGACTTATCTGCCCCTGTATATCATGGAACCTAAACTACAAATGTATAATTTATTTCCACTCCGTTCTGTGACGGATCATTGGATTGTCTGGTCCATTATCGATTATTTGCAGACTGCTATCACAGAGCTGAAATATTGTTGAATCTGTCCTTAAACAACAATCAAAACTTTACAACAAGATGAATCTTCAACTAGGGAGATTTGACCTATTGTGCAAGATTTTCAGTTATAGTGAGTGAGTGAGTGAGTTGGGTTTAACGCCGCTTTTAACAGTATTCCAGTTATATCACGGCGTGTCAGCTTAATGTGGGAGGAAAGCCCGAAGTGATGCAGGTCTCAGACGTTTACCACTTCGGTGAAACCCACGAGCACGGGTATGGTGCTGACAAACCTAGAAACATAATCGGGGCGAACCGGGATTCGAACCCACAATCATAGGTTTCTGGCGTGCCCAAGGGACGCGACTCTGCACAGCGAATCGCGGCGCCTTAGACGACTGGGCCACCCGTGCCCCCTTTGTTGTTAAACGCTGCACTCAGCAATATTCCAGCTATATGACGGCGGTCTGTAAATAATCGAGTCTGGACCAGCCAATCCAGTGACTGACAGGATTAGCATCGATCCACGCAATTAGGATCGATGACATGTATCTACCAAGTCAGCGAGCCTGACCACCCGATTGCGTAAGTCGCCTTTTACGACAAGAATGGGTTGCTGAAGACCTATTCTACCATAGAAAAATCCACCCTAATATTATTTATACATTATTTAATTACAAATGTAAAACTTTCAAGCGTAAATTCTCCCTACATAACACACATGGACTGTTTTCCACCCACTGTAAGTACGACTAAAAATGTAGTTCCGTCTTTGCTAAATCTTAAAAAAATATAAACAAAAATATTTGATGTCACTAAAATTATTAAGTATACATTTTGATATGATTATATACAAAATCAACTTCATCAAAAAATAAATTTCAAATCAATGAGACGGCTGTTCGAAGCGAAAGAATACGCAACAAGTAACAAAATAGCGCTTTGCGAAACGTAAAGTATCGACTGACAAATGAGAAGAGAAATTCACAGTTTAATACAAATCATTTTCAACAAAATAACAAACGGTAAGAATCGGTATTAACTACATCAAAAAACATCTGTCATTATATGACTTGTCAACGTTGAACTGACGTAAATCAACAGTTTGTGTACGAGCTGTCTCGTGGAGGCCAACATGCTTCGTCAGTCACAAGATCAACTTGACACAAGCCTAATCGGTCGGCTGATCATTGCGGCTTTGCTTAGCAATGGGTTGGGTTGAAAAACCAAATGCACTTGGAGAGATAAAAGATATTGATATTTCCTGTGATAGTTTTACTTTACAGAATGCTGGAAAGGAAACTTTGATGCGGAAGTTGATTTGAGTGAAGTTCATTGAAGCGGTTACATCGGATGTTGACACTGCTGATTTGACAGTGGATGCGGCAGGCGGCGACGGTTGAACATTCGACAACAAGTGTGAGATTTTACACTGTTGGTCAGGCTTCAGATGGGAATAATTCGTAATGGAGTTTGTGTTCTTGTGACCTAAAGGGAGTACAATTTATCATTAATTTATTTTAGCTATATAAGATACTGTTATTATTCTTTGTAATATGACATTTTTGCTAAATATCCCCACAATTTGGTTTACTTATCATGTGTACATAAATACATTTTTATTATTATGATAGAAAAAAAATGTAATGTGAGCTTATGTTTTAATACATGTAATGTTTATAGGGCATTTTTTCCATTGAATGTACCTGATACTTCCATGATCTGATTAGGAGAAACACCTTCATCCACCAGTTTCTGTACAAGGTGCTTTCTCATGCTGAAATGTAACACATATCATTATTATTTTCTTATCAATTATAATATTCTGGGAAGAAATACGGACCCGTGAAGATTCCGGGGTAGAATAGGTCTTCAGCAACCCATGTTTGCTGTAAAAGGCGACTAACGGGATCGGGTGGTCAGGCTCGCTGACTTGGTTGATGCATGTCATCGATCCCAATCACTGGAATGTCTGGTCCAGGCTCGATTATTTTACAGACCGCCGTCATATAGCTGGAATATTGCTGAGTGCGGCGTTAAACAACAAACAAAGAAAAGAAAGGGAAGAAATATAGCAAGTTTTCATACATATTCAAATTATTAGCCATTTGATTAATGGTCTATGAAAGAAAATTTGCCCAAAATTTAAATGATTTTATTTGCACATAATATTTTTGAATAGTAATATTATTAATATCACCTGTATGGTGTGATCCGTTTGTCTTGAGCAAGTTTGGCTTCATCCTTCATCTTATTCATAATGCTGTACAGTTTAGTTAATCCCATTGCAGAGTTCTTGTACCAGTGTGAACCTGCCTTTCCTCCATTGCGAGGAAAAATGGACTGTCTGTTTGAAGCATTGAAGTAGGACGATTTTCCCGATACATCTTGTAGCAGGCCACTGGATCCCTGTCAGGGTTTTCTGGAATGCTGTATGCACGGGGCTTCCTGCGGATGTCATTAGGATTGGTTCAAGTACCTGTCTTAAACTGACGCTCTGAGGTCCCATTTCCTTAGTTCCACATCCCCCCCATCTCATGTTGTGAACTTCCTTTCCCGTCCTCATTCCGAAATAGAGCGTACAAATTAACCACATGGAATGTAATAGGCTGTTCCGATTTGCTAGGCCAAGAGTTCCAGCTTCGTTCATGACATCCAAGTGACTGTCTGTTAGCTCATCAGCAGCCCTTGGTTTGTTCCCTTTCGCCTTCAAATCCTTAGATTTAGCCTTCATAATTTCTCTCGGAATTCAACATTTCTCACCATTAATCAAACTGACCATATGATTTTGATTTTAGTTGTCGCTCAAAGGAGAAAGTTTCTCAGTGAGGAAGGCTCATACTCCGATTCATCTTTCTTCCTAACAGTGATGAAGAACTTGCTGAGATAATCTTCAAGGACAGGTGGCTCAATCTCTTCAATGGCCCTAGCCTCGCCTTCCTGCGCCAGAAACTGCTTTAAAAGATTCAGGTCGTACAAGATTTTTTTCTTTGGGTTTTCATTTGCATGTTCAAGAAATGTATCTACATCACCAGTACTTATCTTTGAAAATCTGTGAGTCTTATTTTGCTGGTCATACTGGATAGGTTCAATTTGTTCCTGGATAGGTTTTTGCTTGACCGTGATTCTTTCATCACAAGGGATACAAAACGGAGGATCCTCACCTTTTAATAAATATTCATTTGTGTATCTGCTGTGGCCAATACGACATCGTCGCATAATGACCTCTTCAAATCTGGACTGTCAGCCCAAGTAGGTGTAACCGATATTTGGTTTAATTTCATGTAATTTATTGATACCTACTTGGGCGTCCCACTTCTGTTGCATAAGATCTCGTATGTAAGATCTAATCATGGGTTTCAAATCAGTGTATGGGATCAAAAGTGGTGTCACATATTTGTTGAGTGCTGCTTTAGCAGCAGCATCGGCCATTGTGTTACCTTTGATACCAACATGGCTTGGTAACCAGCAAAAGACGATGTCATATTGGCCAGTAGCAAGATCATTAAATAATTCGAGAACTTGGATTTAAATGGATGACATATCTTTAATTGCCTGAAGGCATGAAAGAGAATCGAAAAACAGTATGAATTGTTTATGTTTAGATTGATTACTGATATATTTAAGTGCTGTAAAAATGGCGTTTGCTTCTGCAGTGAATATTGAACTGATATCAGGTAAACGTGAAGAGATTGTTCTGGATCCAATGACAGTGGCACTAGCAACTGCGCCACCATCCTTGGATCCATCTGTAAATATGGATTTATAAGCGTCGTAAGTGTTTCTTATTTGATGGTATTCTTGTTGGTATATTACGTGGTAAGTATCGGATTTCTTATGTTGTCAGGTCTACCCCTGTCTTTACCATTGAACTACAAATGTACGTTCCTAAGGTCCATGTCATTAACACAATTCTTTTTGTTATGCAGGTAAACATCACAGTCAAGGTGTTTAAAGAAAGAGAAACAGAGTATATTACTGGGTTGGCTTGAAAGCCCACACCAATAAAGGAAGTAGTAGTTGACGACGTAACTGGACAAATGAACCTTAGTCTGGGACGAACAAATTCCATATATCTTGATGGGTGAGGGCTACAAACTGAAGCACATACAACTTCGTGAATATGGAAAAAAATACCTAACCACTTCAAAAGATTCGCACATCACACCATGTAGTAGCATAGGTGACGTTTGTTCGTCTGATGATGACACTCTTACAGCTGAAATTAACTTGGTCACTATCTCGATCAAAAAAGTTTGCCAGAACTGCCAAAAAACAAACCATGCCCGTTTCAGAGAAAAAGAGTGTATTTGTAAGGTGCTCAGTATGCAATATGAAAAAGATGTGGCAACAAGATGGCCTCAGAAGTTGTTTTTGCTGGTCTTGACGAGAAGTATAGCATAAATACTGATGTATTGTCTAACTTTCTAGCTTCTGTTGAACAGCAACACCTCTTACAGAATAAAGAACAGTTGGAAGAGTACTTTTTAACATGTGGCCCACTTTCAGTACATCCAAATGGAACTATAGTGTTTAAAGATCCGAATGGAACTATAGTGTTTAAAGATCCGAATGGAACTATAGTGTTTAAAGATCCGAATGGAACTATAGTATTTAAAGATCCGAATGGAACTACAGTGTTTAAAGATCCGACTGTCCTCTGGCAAGAGTGCAGCCAACAAGAGCTGATTGTTCATTGGTTTCATCCATCTATCCTTTCATTTCAAGGCTCAAAATAACTTGGACAGTGTCCCAGTCAAATGAACTTGTGAGGTACCATGTATGAAACTGATTCGAAAGGATCTCACAAATGTGGCATGTCTTCTTTTTATATTTTTGGCCAAGCTGAGAAGTATAGAAAAAAATACTGATGTATTGTCTAAATGGCAGAACAGCAGCACCTCTTACAGGACGCTGAACAAATGGAAGAGCCCCCTTTTTCTTTTCTTTTTAACATGTGGATTACTTTCACTTCAGACCCGTGTAGATCCAGGGGTATAGAATAGGTCTTCAACAACCCATGCTTGCCGTAAAAAGCGACTATGCTTGTCGTAAGAGGCGACTTATGGGTTAGGGTGGTCAGGCTCGCTGACTTGGTTTGATGCATGTCATCGTATCCAACTTGCGTGGATCGATGATCATGATGTCAATCACTGGATTGTCTGGTCCAGACTCTTATTTACAGACCACCGTCATAGCTGGAATATTGCTGAGTGCGGCGTTAAACAACAAACATGTCAAAAGGTTTTGATTTGTCCATGGTGTGTACCCGACATAGAAATACAAAGTTCCGAATCCCATTTCCATAGCGTTGTTTGGCTAGCTCAATAACTATTGTATACGGACAGACAGATTATATACAAATTCTCTCATCAAGCTGGACTTACTTTAAGTGACACGATTTGTTCTTCATATTTGAAGTGAGTGAGTTAAATTTAACGTAACATCGGCTTATGCCATACAGCGACGATCATATTTGAAAGGTGGATTTGTTATCTTATAACACTTCTTTAATTGTACGTTTCCATGGAAACAATTTACTCTCAAAACTACATGTATTGAGGTTTTATAGTTTTCAATTTGTGTGTATAACTTGTGTATGTATGGCTACAACATGAAAATTAGTGTACATGATATCTAAAGATGTGAGTTGTACACTGCATTTAGTAGTATTCCAGCAATAGGACGGGACATCTGCACCTTCACCGTTGCTATTTGTTTCATGTGTGATGCCTGTACAAGATCTATCAACAAATGGAATAACAACTTTAGATACATTCGATAGTTTTGTAATCTTTGAGTTGAACAGAAACTGGTGACGTTTTGGTTTAAATCCGTATACCCTTTAAGCGAAGGTGTTGGTTTATTCTGGTATAACACACACCAGCTTAACAGTAAATGAAGTTAAGAATTTCTAAGAAATTCATATCAAACATTTAAACATAATCTATTAACTTCGTTATCAAGAATTTATTTCATGAATATGTAAAAGTTGACTTTGTCTTTATGTTTAATTTTACTATTGTCACAATTTAGTTCATAACAATGATAATAAAAATCAAGGAAGTGTCAACAGTCTTTTGTTTTCAATATGTACAATAAACCTGTTTGCCACAGGCATGTAGGTGAAGATTCCGTGGAAGAATAGTTCTTCAGCAATCCATACTTGACGTAAAAGACTAACGGGATCAGGTGGTCAGGCTCGCTGACAAGCTTGGCCACCAAGTGGTTTAATAAAAACCTGCTTTGATATGTTGGAAACTTCACTTACCGTGGCTCCTATATGGGAATTACCTCTAACCCACTCCCAGTATGATTCATATCATGCTATGAGTTAATTATAAATTGCACGAGTTTGGACAGCATTTGGCAGTTTTTTGAAAAGCCAAGTAATTGGACACATGGTTTAAAGTTAATGAAATTTTGGACGTTTATGAGAAATCCCCATATATATGCTCAATCGGAGTATTGAGACTTCATATTTTCTTTCACATTTTTGTCAGCAACTAGGAAAGGTCACTTAATGTGAAGACCGCCTCCGTGGTCTTGTGGTAGAGCGTCCGCCCGGAGAGCGGAAGGTCCAGGGTTCGATCCCGAGCCGCGTCATACAAAAAGACGTTAAAAGATTGTACTTGTTGTTACCCTGTCTGGCGCTCGGCATTAAGGGGCTAAAACAAGGACTGGTCGGCTCGGAGTCAGTATACTGTGTCTGAGTGGGGTATTCATGTTAAACTGCGGCATGGTATCTCAGTGAGCTAGCACTATAAATCGGCATCAGTCCGGACTAGTACAAGCAGCCACACACACACATACACGTGCATGCACGTCGCTATATAAGTGCAATAATCTTGGACGCGACGTTAAACCCAATTTCACCACCTCACCTCACTTAATGTGAAATATGATTCGAAGATTTTTTAATGTTCTGATTGTCTCCAAGCATACTGAATCAGAACCCTCGTCATTTGAACCTACTAGCGTGATACCCAGCAAGTGTGCCTACATTTGAGGGATTTGGTACAAGGAAACCCTTTGAGGATTCGAACATGGACGTTTGTGCGCAGTGTATCTTGGAGCCCGCCATTGCTGCTTGCAGCTTTAATTAAACTTGTAATTAACTTAAATCTAGTTATTACACCATTAATAACTTGTATTTTCATCTTTTAAACCTGAAATTACACCTTAAAAACATGTAACTACACCTTTTTTTAAGTCGTTATTACACCTTTACAGTTAATGTAGAATTTATGGTTTAGTTAGGTTGATTTTGAGAACTTTTTTGATTGGGCTATAAGTTATGCCATTTTTGGGTGATTTTTTTTGCTTGTGGACACTTTTAGTTTCTGATTTTGAGATGGGTAAATTTAAGCTTATTTCTGGCATTTTAAAGGATAGTTTAGCTGCTTTATCGGCGTTTTCATTGCCGTATATTCCTACGTGGGTGAGGATCCAAATGAATACTATTTGTTTGCCTGCCTTAGTTAAGTCATTTGAGCTTTTTAGTATTTGATTTATTAGTTCAGGGCGGTTTTTGATGTTTTTTTTATTTTGGAGGGCTTGCAGTCCACTGAGCGAGTCGGTCAGTATTAAGATTTGTTGGTGTTTTTTAAGTTGTTGATTATGAAGATTTGAGGCCATGCCCATTAGTTCGGCCGTGAATATGGATTGATTGTTTGGGAGTCGGTAGGATTGTGTGAAGTGGACTCCGAAACCTGTGTTTTGAGATCGGATCTGATGTAAATGCGACACCAATTTGGCCAATTTTCGTGTATGTATGCTAGTGTGGTGGTTTTAGCTATGTTTGGGTCGGTTTGTTTATTTATTGTGCTAGCTAGTGTTCTGTCTATTTTGGGTGTTTTAAGTTTTAGGGTGAAGATGTTTGATTGTTTACAATTTTGTTTAATGTTGTTTATCTGGTGTTCATTTAAGTAATTGATTATTCTTTTGGGATATTTGTGTAATGATATTTGAGTAAGTAGAGGCTGTTTTCGAGCTAGGGCTTGGTTTTTAGGGATGATATTTTTGTTTATTAAGTTTTGAATTAGGGGGTTTGATTGAGACGCGGCCCAGAAATTTAGGGTTAATTGTTCCCTACGTAGATTTAGTGGCATTTTCTCCTGTTAAGGCCTGGAGTGAAGTGTAGGAGGTGCCATCTTGAGTTCGTGTTATTAGTTTTAGAGCCTGATTTTGGATTGAGTATAGTTTTTTTTGCGGAGGGATTTGTTAAGGGTGTCGCATATGGCACATCCGTGGTCTAGTTTAGATCTTATTAGTGATATATGGAGGGTGTCTTTGGAGGCCCCCCAGTTTGAGCCAGTTAGGCATCAAAGTATTGAGATATTTGCTACATTTGATTATGAGGTTGTTTATGTGAGCATCCCAGGAGAGATGTTCATCGAAAATTAGTCTTAAGAATTTGATTGGTTTGTTGCGTAGCTGGTAGGTGGGTTTCATGGTTTTTGTGTTGATTTGTTTGTTGTTTAACGCCGTACTCGGCTATATGACGGCGGTATGTAAAAAAATCGAGTCTGGACCAGACAATCCAGTGATTGACAGCATGAATATTATATAAATGTATCAACCAAGTCAGCGGGCCTGACCACCCGATCCCGTTGTAGGCCCTACCGCAGTAAACTCCCTTCATTCAGTCACTGAGGCTCATTCGCTGTGCTCTGGTGGTATTAAAACTGTGGTTTATGTGTCCTACACGGCCACACCATTGTGAACGCACCTTTTATCGTTCGCTTAGTTGCTCGATTATGTTCAAATTTTGACTGCGTTTGCAGACCGTTGAGTTCCAGACACTATTTAAATGCCAAGGCCGTGACTGCGTGTCGCTCGGTGCCCGACATTGCGGCTTGCAGCTTTATTATTATTTATTATTCCGCCGTTCTTTGTTCAAGAGCTAGCAACAACAAAAAAGACTGGCTCGATTTTGTTCAAAATGTGAATTTGTATGCAGATAATAACGTACAAGATACCACACAAATTCCAAGGCCCCAAGGGCAGATAATTGAAAAACAAGTAATGTTTAAGGTATTGCGCCCTATTGCTCTGCAACCTCTGGTCCCATTACTAAAACACTCTGCGTGTATCTGCTGCTTGACATTTTTTGTTCTTTAACTTTGGTCATTGGTCACGTGGTTTGGCAGCGATATTGGATTCAAGGTTTATTTTTGGTATATGTCTTCAAATCCTAACTCCTCTGGTCCCGCTGCCTGAAATGCTTCCAAACTTTCTGA